AACACTTTAACAATTAATTACGCGAAAGTGATAAGTCGCAGAGTGGTATTGTCATCAGCAATTATGTATTGCATTTATTTCTCTACATAATAGTATTCCTTACATCATCTCCTGATACCGAGTAAAACCGCGAAATTGTCATAAAAATACTTAAAAAAGCATATTACAGAATAATGTACAGTCTGTTATGGTGCTATTATTTGTGTCAGCACTGTAATTATAGCGAAAATATGATGGCATAATTACAGTTTGTTGGCGTCTTTCAATTTGTTTTACGCAATAACTTCATACTTTAATTAAAGTTATATAATTTTGAGGTGCATACAAGTTATTTAAATATAAATGAAGCAGAACTGGCTATATTATATTGAATTTCAGTGCATATACATACATATGTACACAGTATATCAATGCAGTTTCGCATGCACAGTGTTGCTACGTAGCGCTAAATGTCGAAATTGACATTTCTCTTTCCATGCGCTTTATGAAATGCTGCAAATATTTTGCGACTTAATTGTGTTGAGTGTTGTAGGCGAAAAGGCAGGTGGCAAGAAGTGGGAGCCATCAACAGCCTGTGGGTCGAAGTGTCTGACAATTTACTTCATTCGCCGTTCGTTTGTGTTGCCTTGGTGCGTCACAAGCCAACGATATCCAAATTGTTCACTTTTGCTCTCGTTGCTTCAATTCCTTATTGCTTTGTGTTGTGTTGTCAGTCGGGTTGCACTGACAGGCGGGAGGAGTGCTTTGAAGCGCAAACAAATATCAGCAAGCCTCATCGCGTGCATTTTTTGTCCCCCTTTTGTCATGTCAAATGCATTTCAGCTCGCTCATTGCATGAATAATGCAATGAAAAAAAAACACACAAAAATAGCGATAATAACAAAAACAACACAACGATACTGTCAGCTGCAGTTGAACGAATATTGGTTGCTATTGCCTCTATTTGCGTTGGCATTTTTTATGAATTTTCTCCCACATACCCTACAGGGAAAGCTATGAGCACCATGTGTTTGTGAACAGTGGTACTATCAATTTGGTTTTCAGCTCTTAACTAAGTAGTTCAGTCTTCTATCTTTGCTCAGTTCGCACTAGCGGCTGGTAGTTTCTAATGGCAGTTTTCTATGAAATTGCAATTAGTAGGCGTTGCATCAGCATCGACCAGTAGAAATACTACCAGAGCCATACCACTAAACAAACAAAGTACAGTTTGCCAATATACCAACTAGTTCGATTTTATTTGTTGATCCCCAAAAATTTGACTGGCTGGCGGCACTCTTCTCTGTAGGGTATACACATTCTCACTGGCTGCATTCGATGCTGCGCCTTGCGTGTTTGCCGTGTTTGCGTTCTTCTTGTTTTACCTTATTTTATTTTGTGATATTTATCTTTGTGTGTGTTTCTAAATTTTTATTCATTTTTGTTTTTGTGTGTTTTCTCTTCTTTCCCAGGTACTATATGGAACGAAAAATTTTTCAACATCTACTCGAATTAAAGTCGCTGCAAATACGCTCCACTAAACTAAACGAAGCTGTGCTAGTGAAGCGAGCCGTCGACGATTACCACAAATCATGTGCGGCTCTTGGTGGCGAAACTGGCACGCGCCTACGGCGCTATCCATTCAGCGATTATACATTCAAGAATTTTGAGTTGTTCCTTTACGAAACACTGAAGGCGCTGCAAAAGCCAGGCACCTATAATTTTCAGAATATCAATGAAGTATATGAGGAAGTAAGTGGTGGTGTGTGGCAGATATTACTCTACAAGTACACACATTCATACATATGTATGTATGTATATATGTATCTACATTTGCATTNTGAGGAAGTAAGTGGTGGTGTGTGGCAGATATTACTCTACAAGTACACACGTACATACATATGTATGTATATATGTATCTACATTTGCATGATGATTGACATGTGTTGAAAGTAGCTATGCTGTCGGCTAAAAATTATTGAAAATTATGCACACTTTATATGCATAACGCTCGAAGGGGAGCATTTGGCGTAGCAGCAGTGTGAAATCGAGTACGACTGTAATAAATTAAATTTTTATTTGCATATACTTTTAGGCGGAGCGTCGCTTGAGTCCCGACTACAACGCTTACGAGAAGGCACTGCAGTGCACCACTAAGACCCACCGTTGCCTACATGCTGCTCACGCATACACTGGCATTCCATGTGCTGCATACAGTAAGTAAAAGTCGCTTGAAAATTACACTGATGTTATATGTATTAGATTGGCTCTCGTTCCATAGAAACACAAATCATTTTTCTTTCCTCAAGCGAATGATAAAATTTGTAAGTGGTATAACTTACAAAGAAATATTTTAAGCTCAGTTCAAGGGGGCTGGGCCGCGTTGAAAACTTCCCGGAAATTGGTCTAGAAGTTGGAAAAATGCAAGCTTTAAGGACTCTCGAACTTAAAAAGCACTTCTGACCACCTATGCTCACCAGGGGCCAGAAAGACTATTCAACCCTTTCACAGAAACTCATATCTCAAGGGATAAACTTGAGGGTTACTTCTCTAGAAAATTTATCAGCCTTTCAGTTAGTTGTGATTAAAGCTAATTTTGTAATAGAACCAAGGACGGAATAAATTTTGTGTAAAATAATTTAAGTCAGAATTTAATCATTATTTTATTATTTTTGTTTATTTTTTTTTTTGCTTAAAAATAATAATTATTATTAACTTTTTTTTTTGCTCAACGGCAATATTTATTATTTGATTTTTAGTTTTCCAATCACAAATCATGATTATTTTATGATTTTTATTTTTGCGTTCAGAGATAATAATTAACACTGAGCTTTATTTTTCAATGAAAAATAATGATTATTTATAAATTTGAAAAGGCCATACAGACGCAACCTACTGAAATTTTAGCCTGAAAATTTTGGGACTTATTCTTTTTATTAGGGTGTCGGTACCTCTGAAAAGGATACGTCGGAAATCACGCTGGTATAGCTTTTAAGTAACCACTATTTTTTAGTGGAAAAATAAGATTCGATAATAATTATTATCTTTGACCAAAAACATAAATATAAAATATTAATTATTTTTGATGAATAAAATAAAAATCAAGCAATAGTTTTGCAATATATTTTTATTTTGTTATGAAAAAATTCAAACTTTAACAAGGAACAAATTAAAAACATAAACAATATTTTGAAATTTTTTCCATTTGTATTAAAGCATATTCTTTTGCATAAAATTTAAACTAGTAAGTATTGAAACCGTATAAACCGTTAAACGTATACATACAAAACAAGTTTTGAATGGTCAAATTAAAATGTGCAACCATTTGCAGGAAATAATGTTACTCATACGCCGTGTCGCACATGGCCGTTCTTGTACATACCCGTACATGGCGTATGAGTAACATTTTCTATATTAAAGGTTAATTTCTTTTTATTAATAATGCAATCCTGAAATTAGAACATTTCGTGAAATGACAAACGGCAGAATTCTGGCAATCGCTGCGTTAAATTTTCCTCGCCTAAATTCTCTAAATAAGAAGCAATATGTAATCCGTCTGCAGATCTAGAAAAACGGTATTCAGATCCGTAATCTATGACCCAAAATTAAGTTTACGTGTTTCGGCGTTTTTTTGTGGCATTTCTTTTTACTGGTATTGTATGCATTAACTCTATCAAAGAAATATAAAAAAAATCATATAAGTTTCCCGGCGATTTCAGAAGAAGTTTTAAAAATAATTTTATTTGTTGGTTCTGGATTGTATATCAATTAAACAATTGTATTTGCTTTGCGTTTCGGAGCACACATTTTACCGAATTTTTGATTACAATTTAAATATTTCATTCTACTGTTTAACATCTTCAGTGAAATTTAAACTCTAATTCGAAGCTAGATACTTTAAAAGTGAGGTTTTATTTGCTTGAATAAGAATCGCTTGACATTAATAAGGGTTGGTTTTGTGAGTTTTGCAGAGGATCCCCGATTGTGCTGGATATAAGTGTTTCTCATAGTAAATGGGACATCAGCTTGCGTTAAGTCTTTTGTCTTGTCTTTTTGTCTGCGAAGTCTTTTGCGTCACTGAAAATACCCTTTTCCAAATTTGCTGCGAAATATATGTATATTTTCTGCCATAGGGTGTTGTTTAGCGATTTATTTCTACGGCCCAAGAAAAAAATCACGGGTTAAATATTTATTGGAAACATTTTCTTGTGAAAGTGAGATTCAGATATATATATATAAATTTTTTAGTAAATCATGCTTCAACTAGTGGTAGTCTTTGCATATCTCATTTGGACCACTCATTGGGGTTCTTTAAATGACCGCTAAGCCTATTGCGCTATTATTCAGTAATACTAAATGGAGGATTTATTTTCGTTTGAATACTCAATAATAGTTACTTATGGTTTAAATAGAAATAACAGTTTCAGTCTGATACTTACTAAACCTTTATAAAGCAACATCACAGAATGACTACAAATAATCGACACTAATTACCTTCCATAACACAATATTACAGAGGACCATCGATATGTGCTTCGTCTTGGTGTGCAGGCTGTATCGGAGACACAGCCGCTAAAATTAAAACAAAAAAGAAATTTAAAATTAAGAAAAAAATATCGATAAAAAGCGATAATAATAACTATAGCAAAATCGATAAAAACATCGATAACAGAATCAATAAAATTATCCATAACAAAATCGATAAAAATATCGATAACAAAATTGATAAAAATATCGGTAACAAAATCCATAACAAAATCGATTACAAAATCTATAAAAAAATCAATTACAAAATCGATAACAAAATCGACACAAATATCGATAAAAAAATGGTTAAAAAATATCGTTTATTATATCGATAAGTTCCCTAAATAAAAGTAAAAATTTCGATAACCAAACCGATACAAAACATCGATAAAAAAAAACCGACAAAATATCGATTATTATATCGTCACAAGAGACGAATAAAGGCGCGCTAGTGTTTCGACGGCAGAAAAAGACGCATAAAAAGAATTGTACGAAATAAGGCGCTTAATAAAAACTTCGGCGAAGAAAGACGCGTAACCTAGTTGACGGCGAAGAAAGACGCGTAATCATAGATTTAAACTTACCCAAGGACTGCCACTTCAGCATTATTCGCCAAAAACTCTTTACCGAATGTACATACTATTACAACCGCAAACATAGTTGACCGCGAAAATTAGTTTACGCGTCCTTCTCCGCCGTCAAATATTTTAACGCGTCTTTCTTCGCCGTCAACTATGTTAGGAGTCTTTCTTCGCTGATGTTTTTTTATGCTGAGCTGTTCGTAAATTGAAAAGATACCGAAAATATCATAAAATTTCCATAATTTGGCACAGATGAAAAAAAAAGAAAGTTCGGGTAAAAGAGTTTTAAACTAAAATTTTTTGAAAAAATCGAAATCTTTATACTATCTAGATACTTTTGAAGTTAGAATAGGTTAATCTGGCTAGTTATGCGCCGCGCATATGGCAATTGTGCCCAAGTATGATGTATGTAGATGGGAGATGGAGGCAATAAATTAAACTAAATTATTATACGGAAGCAGTAACTTTTTTCGTGAGGCATCCTAGTGCAAGTACAATCACGTTTGTATGCACAACCACATATGCACGAGAATACTTTAGTTAAGTTTAAGGACTTTGGTGATGGTTTTATGGCCCGTAAAATCGAATGGCAAAATTGTATGCAGAAGGAGATATTAACTACATACAGCTGGAGGGATGCCACATTGTCGATTAAATGTGAGTGCAGTGAAAGTCTCGTTGTATATTTCTTGGCAAATGTATGTTTTACTGTAACCAAATTCCTTACGCATGCAGTTATATTTTGTTGGGGGCATAATAACCCATCGCGTGTATTTGTTTTCTATATTCAGCTATTGTTTTTTATGCAAGATTTAAAAGACTTTTTCTCGAAATTGGAGAGCGATCTTCAAAGTTTAGTACCGGGCCTGAATGCCCCGAGGTAGCCGGAGGTGAGGTTACCCCTGGCCCATTCCTACATGTCTTTGAACCATTTTTATTTTCCGAAGAATTCTAGCAGCCCTTCCAGAGGAGCTTTTCTTAGATTTCCCAGATGGATGGATTCTCGAAGAAATGGTCCCCAAGGAAGTTGAGGCGTTTTCCTCGGAGTGCTGGACACTCGCAAAGTAAGTGCTGGAAGGATTCCATCTCGTCCTCATCCCTACAGCTTCTACAGAAATCCTTGTGCGGGGTTCCGAAACTGGCGGCCATATGGCCAATGGTCTAGCGTCCCGTTAGTATTTTTGTGAGCAGCCTTACATTTGGTTTTGCAAACCCTAATAAACTCCTTGTTCTTCGTTCACTGAGCAGTGGCCAGAGCGAGTGCGATACCCTGCAGGTGTGTAGATTTTCCCACCTACTGTTGGTGGCTGCCCTAGTCAGTCTATCGACTTCTGATTTTTATTTTTGCTGGCGTTATGCATTTTCTTTCATATAAAAATACTTTAAGCATTTTTTATATGGACGAAATTATAAGTCACAGAGATGCCATTGAACGCCAAAATGTTTTCAGTTTTATCATAGATAGGGTCGCATTTTTTCAAAAAGTTGTGTATTAAGAAACTTCTAAAATGCATTAATGGATTTTGAACCGAACTGAACCGTTTTTTTGAGTGGTTTTCGGTTCGTTTCGGCTGCAATTCAATATAAAAATGGTTGGGTTCGTGGTTCGTTTGGAAGCCCGAAAAAAGGCTACAGTTCGGTTCAAAACCAGTTTGCAGACCTGTTTTTTTTGTTTTAAAAATTAAAAGGCGCAATTTTTTGTAAAAAAAAATGAGCTGGAATGGATGTTACTCATACGCCATGACCACCTGAGAAACTCTCTTTTCCGCTCATATTTAATATAAGAAGAAATCCTCGTGCATTTTCATCCGACCACTCCTTCTTCCCTTATACGTGATTAACTGGAACTATTACCCATAGCAAAATATTATCTAAATTTTCGAAATCACTGAGCAATTCTACACTAAAAATTGGATATTGACATCACGATTTTTTTCCAAACTAGTCCCAAAATGGTGCCGAAAAGGTCTTGACCTAGACCTGAAACGGTGTAAGAACACACCCGATATGGGACCGATAAAATTTTCAACATACATATGTACATGTATGAAAAAGCATATTAGAAATGAGCGCAACAGGCCTGCTACTTTGCCTATTATAATTTTATTTACTAAGATAATAAAAATCTAATTATTTTTCCTTTTCCAGCCGGTGCGCCGTCTTATTTAGGTATTAGCTACATTATTCTTCTTAAAGAATACAATATTTAACCGTACTACCTATTTAGCTTTTTGTTAATCTTTAGCACATTTTAAAACAAAAACAGCTTAAAAATGTCCACTCGTTTGAAATATTAATTTTATGTAGACTTTACCCAAAACCCTTCTCGCTTAATTTTCTAAACAAATACAGACAAAGCGGTTGAGCTAGACAGCCTTCTAATCGGTCCGCTTACACAAAATAAAGTAGAGAATATAAATCCTTTGAGCGTAACTGACGCAGGTGGGTATGCACATATATATATACATATGTATATATATATTTTCGTAGAGTGTATGCGTTGCAAAGAAAGGATAGCATAGCGCAAAAGCAACGAAGTAAAAAGGATCAGCATAGAGAAGTGACTCATTAAGCGAGTATTAAAATTTAAATATAATGCGCCGGACAAAAGACGGGAGAATGCTCACAAAACTCGATACTTTTATGTAGCAACAAATGCGGGTTGGCAGAGACAAAAGCGGAAAGTTTTGGATTACAAGCGTTTAGGCTTTAGCGTACATAAATTTCGAAGCAGGAAGAAAGAAGTTGAATATGCCTATCGAAAAAAAAACATAAAGCTGTGTGCGAAAGTCGAAAGTGACGGAGGCGGCTAAAGAATAACATTTCAGGTGGCAAAGCCAGTTTGTTCTGCTGGTTAAGCAGCTTGGTCACACCTGCATTGACTTTAATAAGCTTCGGATAGAAAAGGACCTAGTCACGCTTATTTAGCTCGATTTGTAAACAGTGGTACACCACAAGGTGACGTTCTTCCATCACTGATTTGGTTTGTTAGAGAAGCTCGAGAGAAGGGGCTACCAGATTTTTTGTATGAATACGTTTTGTGGACAAATTAAAGGGCTTGTGTTGTAGAGGTTACACTTTTTCGAAAAGAGTAAACATTTTTCTAATTTCTAAGAAAATTCTAAAAATTTAATTCAAGTCTTTAGTCTGAACATTTGGAATGTCTGAAGAGGGTTGCCACGTTTTTAAAAAGTTGTTCTCAAATTATTTAATAGCTTGGACGAATTATTAAAAGATGGGTATGATTCGAAATGAGTTTAAAACGTTTTATTTCTGAAATATATATTTAGGACGGTTGCCACATCAGAAAAATAAAAATAGAATTCAACTTGAATTAAGGCAAACCGGCACTTGAACACATATTTATAGTAGTACGGGTATCATACATAAAAGGTTAAAAAAGCGTTTAGTTTGAAAATATTTTTAAGATTGTTGCCACCTGTTTGATAAATCCAACTCAGTTAACAAATACACAGGTTATATGAAATATTAAAATATGAGTGCCAAACGAAAGAGCGTTCTCCATGCTCATCGACTTGGCACCAATTTAGCTTGGCAGCTCGAAGCATAGACAGACGACGGCAGCGTTGATCCGGATCAACTCGTTAATTCACAATTATTTCGGGAATTAACTGAAATTGATATGAAGTTCTCAGGTTAATTCCCAAAATAAGTGCGGTTCAGGCGAATTTTTGATGACAAGTTTAACTCAAACCCACCACCTCGCGATTAATTAATCCGCATTACTACCTTCTGTCATGGTACAATTTTCATTAGGTCAACTGAGCAATTAATTCGGATTAAGGTTGCCGGTTGCCTATGATTTTGGTCTCCTCACTATGGCTGCCCGTATTTTCTGGGCAGGTCTATACTCCGGACTCCTACGGAAATTCTCGATAAAGTCACAAATCCTCTGATGTGGGCTACTGCCAAAGGGAGAAATCTGAATCTATATGACTAACTTCTTAGTAAGATCACTTTTATTTGTCAATGTTATCACTTTTAATTTTTCTTCCAGCATTCTTATCATTAATTAATGCTGACTTTTCAGCGCTCCACTTCGCTCGGTCCATATAGCCTCGATTTGTGTGCATTTAAGCATTTAAGTATATGCATGTGTGTACATAAATACATATGTATATCTACGTATTTTCCCGCTGAGAAGTGCTACTACTCGTTTTTATTCTTCTTCCTTCGCGTGCAATTCGTAAATGTGTACTTAAATGTCACTTCTACTTCACATTTTATTTACTTCATTTGATGCTGTACTTTCATTTCGACGTTGTCACTGTCGTTCTCATTTCTTTTGTCCTTCGCCGTCTCTCGCTCAGTCAAGTCTACTGCTGAAATTGTTGTCTTTTCTATAGTTTTAATCTACGCTCACGTCGCGCGCGCAAAATACAATTTTTCAGCGCATCCCCCCTGGGGAGCCAAAATGCAATGACGTTTTTTTTTTATTACATTTTGTTTTTTTTTTGTTGTTTTTAATTTTGTTCCAAGTGGCGCTAGTCTGATCTCATTCTTGAGCTTCGCGCTCAAGCAGAAATATCTTAGCGATTTCGGGACATTTTTTTGCCATAGTACATGTCCACGTATGTATGTATGTATGTATGTATATTGGCCTGTGTAAAAACATTCCTGAAACTTCATTGAATAAACGTTGGTAGTATTACTGGTGGTCCATTGTGTAGTTGATTTAGCGCTTAGATGTTGTAATCTTGCATTAGTGGCAGTGTCCGCTTAGCAAGAAAGTGCTGAGCAAGTCTTCGCCGGCGGTGATTTCGACTCATATGCACACACGTTCACATACATACATACATACATATGCTTGTAGTAGTGGTTGCAACTATATGAGCGAGCAACAACAGTCAGAAAATGCAATTTATTCTATTTAAGTAACAAAAAACAAATTCCTCAGTGCGAATAATGCGAATATAAACTTAAAACAATGGACATGAAATGCTTTCTCATCTACAGCTCACACGCCCACACTAACGAATTTTCACACTACTATTGAGTTGCATATATGTATGTATGTACATATATATTTACATACAAATGTACATATATGTATATGCACATTTGGATCTAGCCGTATATGCTGTTGTATACTGTATGCAGTAGTGCAACACAGTGAAAAAAACCTTTGGAAGCGAGCCATTTAAAAATTTAAGCAGTGAAAACTTGGTAAAATTGCTTAATTAATTTAGACAGCTAGTGATTTTTAGTTTCGAAGTTATAGCTAATAAAAAACTCCAGACATATTGAATGCGCCACCGTTTTTAAACCGATTAAATCGAATATCGATTAATGGAGACCTTCCGATTCGAGTTTTTTTTGTCGATGGGCGAATCGTTTCGATATTCGATTTTTCCTCAATTGTTGCATATTGAAATTTAAATTGGAGGCTAATACAAAAAATAATGGGGCTTGGCACTTCCCACCTTTCTAACTTGAGATATTTAGCAGAGGCCAAATAATTGAAAGACTTGAAAGACCTGCCTCTCTTTCTTTCTTTGCAAAAATAAAGTAAATATATGAATCGCATCGATTATTTTTATTTCGATTCAAAAATCTTTTTTTTCGACCTGGCATCTCTAGAAGGCACATGTCATGTTACTTGATGGTTCGTGAATATTTAATTAAACAATTTTATATTTTTAATACTTAATTGAACTGCCCAAATTACGACTTAATTTTTTTCTCATTCATTTTTGGACTACCCTAGTGTCCACCCTTATATGTATGTTAGGATCAATATTTGATTTCTCTCATCTCTCTTATAATATTATTACAAAGAAATTGTGGAACAATATATTTAACGGTGGGTTTTTCTTGGCATTTTTGAGGTTAGGTTTGTTTAGGAGGCATGTTTTAAAATATATCAATTACCTACGCTCTTCGTACTTGACTTGATTTATGTCCGCAAATGTTGCATATGAAAACTTTAACCTCTACGTCAACTCCTTCTAATTCTCTCCTAAAATCCTAACGGGAGCTCCCACTCTGCTACGCCACACAGTGTACGATTTGAGTGTCCATGGACAAAATCGTAAATCTCTCGACAGGAATAAGATAAAAATATGGGTTNAAAAATCCTAACGGGAGCTCCCACTCTGCTACGCCACACAGTGTACGATTTGAGTGTCGATGGACAAAATCGTAAATCTCTCGACAGGAATAAGATAAAAATATGGGTTCGAAAGCTGACATGATGGACTACAAGGAAAAAATTGTGCAATTTTTTAAACATTATATTTTACCCCCCAAAAAAATTCGTTTAAAAATGAACTTCAGCTTTTTAATAAAATATTTCAAAATTTATGCAGTTTTATAGCCCATTAAACTTGAACTTGTTGAAACTAGCCAACAATTATTAATTTCTTTTCGAAGATTGATTTTTCAACCAATTTTTTAAGGTTATATATAGTGGTTATATAATATATTTTTCCCTTGTAGGCCCTTTCTTACGGCAGCTTTCGAACCCAGTTTTGTCTGCCTTATTCGTATCGAGATTTGCGATTTTGTCCATCGGCTCTCCCAAATCGTACACTGTGCTTTGTTTTACCTCAACTACTATCTTTAGTTGCTTTGGTTGGGTGGTGGATATTACTGAATCATATAGCTGAACACTGTACCTTAGTGACAGCTAGACACGCGGCTCCGTTGGCGCTTCGTCAACTCTCTCTCATTCTTTTATCACTCATTAATTACTAACCGAATTCGCCAACAACTTAATCTTGTGTAAAATTCGTGGTAATCACTTTTTTGCACTTTAATTAGCTACGAAATTGCTCAAATACTATATCTAAGTATATATCAACTAATGATTTTTAATGTTGTTTGTATCCATTCAGTGTAGTGTTTTTTTTTTGTTTTGATTTCAGTACCCATGATGAATCATCACACAATGCCAAAGTTTGGATTTGG